GATGTTAAAATCGTCATGCATCGAAACGTAACTAAGCTAGTATTACCCTATCCTATTAAATATATATAAAGACAATATCTACCCTAATCTAAATATACTAGTAGTATTACTAGCTTTAAAGACTAGGGTGCCTAGGATAGCAATAGTAGTGTTTTTAGGGGTTAGTATTCTAACCTAATAGTTAGTATACCCCTAGCTAGTAGTGTTAGATTATAACAAGTACTAGTATAGCTAGATATAAGACTATAAAAGCAAACCTATTTATATAGTATACTAGCCTAACTAAATAATTCTACTCTAGATACTTATAAAAACACACCTATAGAAGATAACTATAATATACTACTAGATACGTAATAACACTAACCTTATACTATTATAGACTCTCTAATAAAGACTTTAGATTCTACTCTACTAATATAGACTTGTAAGAATATATATATTAGGAATATAAAGGCTAGGCGTAACTATATAACTAAAGCTAAAGCTAAAGGTAATAGTAATAAGAGAAATACTTCTAGAGTATAAGGCCTAAAATTATAGTAGTCTCTAATATAAACTAGAGTATCTATTATAGATGCCCCTTATATAGATAGTAGTAGTATAGGAGAGCTAAATAATAGTAATAGTAATAATAGCGTCTAGGTTTATAGATAATTATAATATAAGAGGGTCCTAACTATATAAGTTAAATAATATATATATATAGTATTAGTATATATAAATAATATAATATAATATTACTATATATCCTATACTACACAAGCTTACTATATTATACTACCCCTTTACTACTATATATAATATAGTATATATACTAATATACTACTAAAGAAACCTATAATATATATAGTGTAAGTAACTAACTTACCCTAGAATATTTATAATATAGAGTATAATCTTTAGTAATACTACTACACTATAATATAGGAGTGTTGTTATAATAGGCGCCTTTATAGAACTTACTAACCTATTATTATAGGATATTTTAGATTGTAATTTTATATACTAGGTATACTACCTAGTCTCTTAGTTATTATTATAGTGTACCTAGGTAGTAGTATACTACACGCCTATACTACCTAGGTATCTACTAGTACTAGTTCCTATATAGTAACCCTACTAAATTATACCTACTACGTGCCCTCTATCTACACTAAATTTTCCCCCTAGGTGCTATATATCTATCTACTATATAACCTATAATTAGGTATATTATATAAACTATATTTAAATAGACACTAAAGTTAATATATATAATACTAATAATATATAAACTAAAAAGTAGTTTACCTTTATAGAATATATAGTATAGTAAACCCTATTTAGGTTTACTTCTTATACTTAAACTACTTTGTAGTCTACTTTAGATAAATATAGCTACTGTAAACTGGTTTTGTACTGTAGTGTGTACTGTATAAGGTTCTGATACGGGAAAAGCACTGACTAAGCCATTATCCCTGCGTCCCAACTCCACCGAGAACTAAGCTCACCGCCTCCACATGCGCCACATCGTCTAGATAGGCAATCTCCCACCCCCCTCTACCAAACAAAAACATACCATGTCTTTTTCAGACGACGAAGACGCAACCCGTCCGCCACCAACGCACAAACTGTACGAAGACGAAGATACAAGTCCGACCACGACGCGTGAATTACAGGCCTGGTATGCCGTTCCCATTGCAGCCGAAGTCTACGCCGTGGTCGCTGTGGGTAGGTACATGAAAACTTGTCCTTTAGCAAACAAACCAGCGTTTGCAAATATTTCGTTCCTTTGATCAATCTGCTTGTGCTAATACATGGAAAATCCCAGGAGCATTTCTGCCCGTGATTCTAGAGCAATTGGCGCGCGAGAATGGCGTTTTTTATTCTGATCGCTCGAAACCTTGCGTTCAGCACGATGCCGCCGGACGTGTGCGGATGCGTGAAGCAGGAGGCAATGGAGGAGCAGAGCAGTGCATGATTCGGCTTCTGGGTATGGATATGAGCACGAGTAGTTTTGCTTTGTATACGTGAGTATAGTGCACTTGCTAGATAGGCGACAAAGGTTGGGTCTTTTTGTTTTGTTTTGGGCGGCTAACAGTGTATCGTGTGTAGGTCTTCGGTTGCTGTGTTGATGCAGGCACTCGTGTTGGTGTGTTTTAGTTCTTTTGCAGACCATGGTATGTTAATCTTCGAGGTGATTTGATTAGAAGGGGAGGGAGGGCTAACGGGTGGAACAGGTCCATATCGCAAGAAAATGTTGCTAACATTTGCATGTATTGGCTCTATTGCCAGTTGCTCCTTCATATTCATCACACCTTCAGTATTCTATCTCGCGCCCATACTCGTCATAGTCGGCGTGACAAGTCTCGGCTGCTCATTCGTCCTCTTGAATGCTTTTCTTCCCTTACTCGTTGCCAAACACCCAGATGCTTCTTCGGCTAAGAAATCCCGCTCATCAGACGAGTACTCTGATTACGAACTCGAGGCCCTGAATCCAGAACATACTTCTCCGCGCCGTCGCACACATCCTGAAGCCCATGCGAGCGATCTGGCCCGCTCAGCAGATATATCCAGCAAGGGCGTGGGATATGGCTACATCGCCGCCGTTCTTGTAGAGGTCTTTAGTATACTAATTCTCTATCTCTTCAACAAGACGGCAATCCAGAAACGCAACCCCAGCCTCCCCATCCGGGTCATCCTGTTCATTGTAGGAATCTGGTGGGCTGTCTTCACGATCCCGACTTTCCTCTGGCTGCGCCCCCGACCCGGTCCCCCACTACCGACTCAGCACAAGTTCGGATCTCAGTCTCGCCTGCGTACATTTTTATTCTACACCCACTTTTCCCTCCGCTCGTTCTGGCGGACGCTCAAACGAGCCATCAGTCTTCGACAAACACTACGATTTCTCATATCATGGTTCTTGCTCTCTGACGCTGTCGCCACAATCAGCGGGACTGCGGTACTCTTTGCCCGTACGGAGCTGAATATGGGTAGTGTAGCCATTGCACTGCTCTCCATCACCTCGATTGGCTCTGGTATCATCGGCGCATTCGCCTGGCCACGCGTACAACAGCATTTCTCACTGCAGCCCAAGACCATACTACTGTGCTGCATCGCAGGCATGGAGATCATTCCCTTGTATGGGTTATTAGGATACATACCGTTGATACAGAGACTGGGCTTCATCGGATTACAGCAGGCCTGGGAGATTTATCCAATTGCTGTGTTACATGGAGTTGTCATGGGTGGGATATCGTCGTACGCGCGGTCCGTATATGCCCCGTTGATCCCTCAAGGGAGTGAAGCAGCCTTCTTTGCGCTTTTTGCGGTAACGGACAAGGGTAGCAGTGCGTTTGGACCAGCCCTGGTAGGTTCGATTGTGGATCGGGCTGGTACAATCAGGCCGGCTTTCATCTTTTTGGCGGGATTGGTTGTTACGCCGGCACCGTTGCTTTGGTATCTCGATATTGACAAGGGGAGGCAGGATGCGGCGGTCATGGCTGACGGCGATGGTAGAGGGCGTGGAGAGTATGGGAGAGTGAATGCGGATGACTGATAATAAATTATGCCGATGCAAGTGAGCCGTAGGCAGGCCAACGACATACCTCTTGTAAAGCTCAATAGACGAAAGACGCAATAGATAAAAGGCTCCTCTGGGTATCAATCGTATTGGTGAACGTGAGAGCGCTCCGGAATATGCAACAATCTGCTTCAAAATATTCTCTGACTGTGAGCCTCAAGCTGAATGCTCTGTCTTCGGTCGCTTGCTGTCTCTGCCACCATCGTCTCCAAATCTCTTCCGCTCTCCAAGTGGTTTTGCATTGGCACCCGTTGCACCCTCTCCTTCGCGTTCGCGCCCACGATAGTTATCGGATCGGAAGCGCTCATCTACGCCATACTCGCTCTTGTCTCTCCGGGGACGGTCGTCGCCAAAGTCGCCCCACTTGCCCGTATCTTCACTGCGCATATCCTTGTATCGCGTCCGTCCCTTTTTGCCCAACTTGGTCATGTCGCGAATCTGCATGAACTCGGGCAGCACCTCTCTGTTGGTCTGGTCCTCGAACCGCGCGTTCATCAGGTTCCGCTTGTCTACACCCAGCTCCTTGAGCTCATCGGTGAAGAAGGCGCCCTTGTGGAAGTACTTTTGCATGTACTGCATCTGCCCACGATCGCCACGCTCTTCCTGCTGTTGTTCGATGAAGGCGCGGTCTTCGGCTTCGCGCTCCGCAGCGGACAGGTTGCGACGACGCTCGATTTCTGCACGCTCGGCTTCGGCTTCTTCAATGGCCAGACGCTCGCGCTTGATGCGTCGGAGCTCGCGCAGCTTCCATGCCGCATATTCGGCTTCAGGATCAAGCCCGTCGGTGTCGTCGATGGCGTTGATATCGCCCTCTTCCACATCGTCGTCCCAGTCTTTCTTGCCCGCTACCTTCTCCGCTATACGCTGCTCGACCTGCTGCTGCACCACTTGGCGAGATTCTTCCTGCCGTCGTGCCTCCTCCTCGGCTGCTAGCTCCTCAGCTGACTTGGTGGGGGCAACCACCTTATTTCGCTCGTTCTTCTTGAGGAAGACAGGTCGCAGAAGTTTCTTGGGCGCCTCCTCTTCACTGCTCGAATCCTCCTCTTCGGAAGAATCCTCGTCACTACCGCTGCTGCTGCCGCTCCCACTTTCCCCCTCGCCATCCTCGTCCTCGCTCTCCGTCTCAAAGTCATCTTCTATGGCCTTACGGTCGGCCTCTGCCTTCTGCCGCGACGCAAGGCTGGGCTTGATCGCCGACTTTGGGAAGGAGGATGCAATGGGCGCCGGTCTTGGCTTTGCAAAGGGCTTCTGTTTGGGCGCCTCCTCTTCCGACTCTGATTCTTCGGAGCTTACCTCCTCTTCTTCTTCCTCGACTGCCGTCGGCTTTCCGGCAAATTGACGCGTGCGTACGGGCTGCGCAGTCAGCTTCCTAGACTTTGGAGGCGGCATTGCGGGCGAATATTTTGACGTCAACGAGAATTGGTGGAAAGGTTTCGCCCTCAGTCGCGAAAGTTGTCGTCGCGACAGCCCGTACCGCGGTTGAGCTAAGCGTCTTGGCATGGTGTAGGGCTGAAGACGTCACCTTCACACCTCAAAGACGGTGATGCTACCACCATTGCCACCAGCAGATGCATCCACCCGTTCTGCCACTAATCACATATTGAAAAGTGTATACATTACCTACACATCACATTGCGAAGATAGTATTACTATTCATGATGGACTGATTGACTGTGCTGATGCTTATTTCTGACTGAGTGTTGACAAACATTCCATCGCCAAACACATCAAACGCCGGTGCATATCGCAAAGTACACTTGATTCATGTGACAGTCTCTTTCTTCGCGTCCAATTTTTAATGCGACGCGCTTTCAATATATACACCGATACTCATCCAGCCATTCTCCGGCCGTATGAGTGGCAGGCAACGAAGGATGCCGAAAAGCCCTAGGCCTCATCAGGAATGCATTTCCAGAATAGGACATGAGGTCACTGCAGATGATCTTTCACTTTAGTTGCGTAGGGGCAAGTTGGGGAGGGAGGGGGGGGGGGGGGGACGGTTGATGAAGAAAGCTTCGGTCCCGAAAGTGTTGGATTCACCCCAATTTCACGTGGCTCTGGGATTAGAAATCACCGCGAATAGGTCCGTTTCATCAATAGAGAGACGGCTCGATTATGCTCGTCTACCCATGATAATCGCGTTAGTGAGACATTCTGATAGGCTACGGCGACAGAATCCAGAAAAGCTACTCCGTACGTAGTGACCGGTATGTTGGTTTCATGCTCAAAATACATATCCATGGTAAATTAGCCCCGCATTCTCTCTTGCAGAGCTCCGCTGGGGCCGTTAATAAAAGCCGGGTGCATGCACTGCTTTGTGCTTATAATCAAACAGAGACCATCGGGGCTGACGCGCAGTACGCCGAGCTAAAGCACAGCCACTCTTGCTTCGTTCACAAGGGATGCAACTTTGGGAGTATGTACAATATATGTGCTTTCATTACTTCTAGGTCATGGTCATTCGCCGGTTTTTGTGGCGTAGGTACCCATAATCTTATACCGTGATCGCCCGCCACATATGGGCATAATATGTTACCCGGTAAACGCCTATTCATGCTGTGTCTTAGAAAGACCAAAGAAACGGGTCATGTCAACTGACAACCCATGGATGCGTGATGAAAAACCCACCCAATGCAATGCACGCTGAAATGCAACAAAATCGTAATCCCATGGACCCAGTAAAAGCGGCCCGTGAGAAGTCGGGTATCGCACCATGGCGTGGATGAAAAAAAAAGTATACACTAGCGGAATATCGGCTGCTGCGGCGCAGGTAATTGATTGAACTGGTTCGATCCAGGCCATGCACCGCGGTCCATATACGGCAAAAGTCCAGCACGACGCTCCGTCATAGGTCTACCCAGAGGTTGGTATTGCATTTGCTCAAATGCAATATTCCTCGCTGGATTCTGGACCGATGTCTGTGGCGGGGGCACCAAGAGGGTCTGGACTCCTCGAACGGGGCGATAGGGTGACTGGCGCTGGTTCAAGAAGTAGGATGGTGACAATTGTCGTGATGCCGATGCTGGGAAAGAAGCAGAGACTGGCGATGATCCGTTGGAGTGGGCATATGGGCTCATCTGGTGGGGACGCTCGGTCGTGGTCGTGTAACTATTATTAAAGGGAGGCGGAGCTGACGAGCTGGGAGTGGTGGATGGTTGCTGCCACTGTACTGGAGGGGGGTACACCGTGCCCGTGTTGTTTCGGCCACCCGGAGCCGGGAGAGGCAAGTCTGACCAGTTACGGACTTGCTGCGGTGGCACCTGATGCGGCGTAGGTATCTGAAGGCTTGGGAGAGGCGGCAGCCGATTCATGGAAGGAGGAGGCTCAAAGGACCTATTCACAGGCGTCTGTAATGTAGGTATTGGGGGAGCGTTGCTGTAGGGTCCAGGAGTAAAGCCGTGAGCATGTCGCTTGAAAGGTGGTTCAGATTCGTGATCGATGCTACGCTTCCGTTGAATGGGACCCAATTCAGGCAGAGCACCAATGGGCGACAGAGTGGCACAAGTTGGTTGTGGTTGCAAAAGCGGAGTTTGCGAGGGTGCCAGATGACTAGGGGAATACATCATCGACGTAGGTGGAGAGGTTCGCTGCTTGGTCGGTGGTGACGGGACGAAGTTTGGCGGCATCGAGAGCACGGGCGTTGACGATGCTGAAGGACTCACAGCTGTACCAGACGCTGGCACCTGGGAAGCGCGGTCAAAGAAAGTGCCAAACTTGCCGAGGATAACGTGCCACTCTTCCCACTTCTTCTTCGAGGTGAACAGGCTATAGCGCATATTGCTCAGAAATTCCACTTCCATGATGTGTACTTCCTGCACTGAAATGCCAGAAACCTCTGCCCAAGTCTTGTTCGTATAGGTGTTGTCATCCAAGAACTTGTTGCCCAACATGAGTGCTACCGTCAGCAGGCGGTACTCACTGCCTGGCTTGCCCTTGACCGTTGGGTTTGTGAGTTTGAGTCTGTAGATGAACAGCAATGCCAAGAGAATCACATTCTGAGCGACCTGGGTAGTCGTCAAGATGGTGGTTACCCATTTCTTGAAGCCAATTGTAGGGTGTGCGTCGGGAACGAGGGGGCGAATCGCTTGGTGTGGCGAGGAGACCTCCAAGACCTGTTTCAGCACAGTCGAGCTTTCGAACCAGAAGAGGCAGGTGATCTAGTGAGGTGAGTGAAAGAACAGGGCCATGGTTCACGGGCACGTACCTCGGCAGCTAATTGGGGAAGACCCTCCTGCGGTGTATTGATTGTGCTGGGTACCCGAAGATTTGGCGAAATGGACCATTTTTTCCTGGGTGTCTGCACAACGTCTTGAGCTGGCTGCTGTGACTGCCTGTGCGGGCTTGGACTTCGAGGTGCGGTAGCTGATCTCGAGTTGCCAATCGCCGGTAGTTGGTATCCGTACTGGTGTCCAGCACCCTGTGTCGGCGGCAACGACACCACTCTGACGGCAGAACCTGGGAGATCGGGAGGGGTCAAAGGCGCCGCTCTCGAAGCTGTCCGCATGGGGTCCAGATCACGACCACTGGCCATTTTCGGGTAGGGGAGCTGCATGGCGCCGTCCAGCTTCATGGAGTTGCGGGCCAGTGGAGTGTAGAGGTCGAGAGGCGCCCGAGGAAGAGCGTGAGGCATTGGGTGAGGGAGCTGTAGCTCGAGCATGGAGACGGTGAGGGTGAGGGTGAGGGTGAGGATGAAGGAAAGGAGGCAAGAGGGAGGGAGGGGAGGAAGTGAAGCGGCGACGTCAACGTGAGCGGGCGTACATGGGCGAGGCCGTGTTGGTGGGGGTTGGAGGGAGACGTCGATGTTCTGTTTGCACGAGGCTCTTCCTTGACTGGATTGTCAA